ATCTGCTGAGACCCAGTGGAGCTGTCACTTTCCGTAGTCCTTCCTATGATGTAGCGCTGACTGGTCTGACGTTCCATTGCCTTGCCCCGTGTTGCAGGAAATGGCAGCCCCAGCACCATCGACCCCACCCCTCCTCCAGCCCAGGAGCCCCAGGGAGGCCTGCCCACTGTGCCCCCCCGGCCCAGCAGAGAGCTCATCCTGGAGCGCTGCACCGAGCACACCCGCAAGAAAGTCAGCATCCGCAGCGCCAGCTGAACAAGTCCGAACAGCGCCGCCCTGCAGGCGGGAGGAATGACACACCGGCCTCACGCATTATAATTCCTCCCCTTTCAGAATCTGATCCGTCCAGCTCCTTCCATAATTAAGTGTACAAGAAAACAGTCTGTAGTTAATGAAATGAAATTTTAATGAGCTAAGAAGTTCACAATGTCTAGGACATTTCACCACTGAGGCTTTGCAATGTCAGAATGTCTGTTTACAGATAATTTAATTCCTTCGTAAAGTATGAGAAGCATAGCTTGTGTTATTATTTTGTGTTTATTCTCTGTGTGTGTCTGATATAAGGATTTTGAACATCAATCCTCAGACATATTTGTGCACAAATAAATGTTTATTTTTAACGAGACTGTGGGTATCCTGTTTAAGTGGGAGCTTGTTCTGACAGACAGAAAAACCCAGTCTGTCTGTCAGAGCAGGAGGCAGGTAGTGGCCTGTTTTTAGATGCAAGGTGTTGGCAGAATATTATCCAGCATTGTTGATTGTTTTTAGCATTTTCTCCTTTGTTAGGATAAGCTATTTTGTACCCTTACTGCACCTGCTTCACAAACCTTAGCAGTGCAGCATCCTGCAAAGTACACCTGCTATTTATTCAGCACAACTGCTTTACAGAAAAAGGGAGAAGTGACAATTGTAGCATTCATTTTGAAAGGCTTCTGTATCATCTTTTTGTTACGCAAGGCTTTGTGTGAAGTGTGTAAGCAACAGGTTGTGAACCGTCTCTTCCCCAGATATCCCTCACACTGTATTAAAAAAAGATGTGTCTCATTTCTGCCTCATGCTGTTTTTTTTGTAAATACACTGGTCGTCTTCTGCAAACAGTGTTTGTTGTTTCGAATTTCTGATACTCACTCTAACGGTCCGGAGAAGGAAAGAAATTCCCAAAGCCGGGATAGTTCACCTGTGATTTATGGTGACGGACACTGGAAGTGAGATTGGATACACAGCAGAGCTGTGTAGAGTCAAATGGACCATGAGGGATTAGAAAAAAACGATTGTTTTGCTTGTTTGTTGAATTTATTATTTAAAGTATAACATTGATGAATCTAGACAGCATGTTTTTGATCTTTGGAAACAAGCAAGACCACCTAGAGAAAACCCACTCAGAGAGCATGCAAACTCCACACACAAGGTGCTCCCAGCTGGAATCGAACCTCCACCAGAGCACTAAATCCAACTGCTACACTATTGTGCAGCCCCAGAATTACAAATATTTTAGTATCAAATTAATCTGTAACTTGCAATGTATTTTTTGGGCTGTATTGTGGTTAATCCAGATTTAAAAATCGTTTTTATAATTAATGAGTACATTTCAAATGTTTTAGAAATGTACCTAGAGCCCCCTAGAGGTTTCTGGAGGTGTTGCATTAGCGCCGCTACTTGGAGGTAAAAGGTTAGAGGGCACCCAGGGGTCACTGACATGGCCGCCTCCTTATAGAAACACGACTTCGCTCTCCCGTTATTGAAAATGAATGCGTGTCGTCTCAGTTAGAATTCTAGTTAAGAGAATATGAATAAATTGGTATACGTGATATTTCTGTTGCATGAAGAGGAGTTTGCTGCTGAAGGAATTTAACCGGACCGGGTAGGTGTGGTGCTGTACTTCTGTTCTCACGTTACATTTTTAAATATGCCATTTAAATATGTTGCACATGCCTTTGGAGTTATTTCAGTCATGATATACTTACAAGAAATCCCGGTTTTCGGGTTTGTATCTCTTACTGAATACTGAGGTTTTGTTTAAAAGCCTTGGATGCTGTTAAGCACAGCCAGCAGATTATGAACCCGGATGTTGTTCTTTGCTGGGTAATTGACAGATTCCCCGCCTGTGAACACCTGGGTGATGCTCTGAGGATGCTGGGTGGTGAACATCACCTCTAATCACGTGACCCC